TTTCCAGGTCCCACCATTTACCTGCAAATTTCATGATTTCCTTATTTTTCATTGCTGAGTAATACTCCATTGTATAGATGTACCACAGTTTCTGCATCCATTCTTCAGTTGAGGGGCATCTGGGTTGTTTCCAACTTCTGGCTATTACAAATAAAGCTGCTACAAACATGGTTGAGCAAATGTCCTTTTTGTGTACTTGCGCCTCTTTTGGGTATATGCCTAGGAGTGGTATGGCTGGATCTTGAGGAAACACTGTTCCTAGTTGTCTGAGAAAGCGCCAGATTGCTTTCCAGAGTGGTTGTACCAGTTTACATTCCCACCAGCAATGGAGAAGGGTTCCCCTTTCTCCACAACCTCTCCAGCATGTGTTGTCCCTTGAGTTTTTTATCTTGGCCATTCTGATGGGTGTAAGGTGAAATCTCAGAGTTGTTTTGATTTGCATTTCCCTAATGGCTAATGAGGTTGAGCATTTCTTTAAGTGCTTCTCTGCCATTCGATATTCCTCTACAGAGAATTCTCTCTTTAGCTCTGTTCCCCATTTTTTAAGTGGATTACTTGGTTTATTGCTTTTCAGCTTGTTTAGTTCTTTATATATATTGGATATGAGTCCTCTGTCAGATAAAGGGTTGGTGATGATTCTTTCCCAATCTGTAGGCAGTTGCTTTGTTTTGATGACGGTGTCCTTTGCTTTACAGAAGCTTTTCAATTTCATGAGGTCCTATTTATTGATTGTTGCTCTTAGAGCCTGTGCTGTTGGTGTTCTGTTCAGGAAGTTTTCTCCTGTACCAATGAGTTCTAGGGTATTCCCCACTTTTTTTTCTAGCCGATTTAATGTGTCTGGTTTTATGTTGAGGTCTTTGATCCACTTGGACTTCAGTTTTGTGCAGGGTGATAAGTATGGATCTATTTTCATTTTTCTACATGTAGACATCCAGTTGGACCAGCACCATTTGTTGAAGATGCTATCTTTTTTTCCATTGTATGGTTTTGGCATCTTTGTCAAAAATCAGGTGTCCGTAAGTGTGTGGGTTTATTTCTGGGTCTTCTGTTCGATTCCACTGATCCACCATTCTGTTTCTATGCCAGTACCATGCAGTTTTTATAACTGTTGCTCTATAGTACAGCTTGAGATCAGGGATGGAGATACCTCCAGAAGATCTTTTATTGTAGAAGATTGTTTTAGCAATTCTGGGTTTCTTGTTATTCCATACGAAGTTGAGAATTTTTCTTTCCAGGTCTGTAAAGAATTGTGTTGGCAATTTGATGGGAATTGCATTAAATCTATAGATTGCTTTTGGTAAGATGGCCATTTTTACTATGTTAATCCTGCCAAGCCATGAGCATGGGAGATCTTTCCATCTTCTCATATCTTCCTCTAATTCTTTCTTCAGAGACTTGAAATTTTTTTCATACAAGTCTTTGACTTGCTTGGTTAGGGTTACACCAAGGTACTTTATGTCATTTGTGGCTATTGTGAATGGTGTTGTTTCTCTAATTTCTTTCTCAGCCCTTTTGTCTTTTGTATACAGGAGTGCTACTGATTTTTTTGAGTTAATTTTGTATCCGGCCACTTTGCTGAAGGTGTTTATCAGCTGTAGGAGTTCCCTGGTAGAGTTTTTGGGGTCACTCATATATACTATCATATCATCTGCAAATAGTGATAATTTGACTTCTTCCTTTCCCATCTGTATCCCCTTGATGTCCTTCGACTGTCTTATTGCTCTAGCAAGGACTTCCAGCACTATGTTGAAGAGATATGGAGACAGTGGGTAGCCTTGTCTTGTCCCTGATTTCAATGGGGTGAATTACCTTTTTGATACATACTCATACTTGGTTTTTTAGTATTTTACTAAGGATTTTTACATCTATGTTCATCAAGAAATGAACCTGTATTTTTCTTTTTCTGTTCTGTGTTTACCTGATTTGGGCAACAGAATAATACTGGCTTTGTAAAAGGAGTTTGGAAGTGCTCCATCTGTTTCTTTCCTGTTTTTCTTTTGAGACAGGCTTTCATTGTGTAGGTTTAGGTGTTCTGGAAATAGCTATGTAGATCAGCTTGCCTCAAATTTCATCTCTAGTTTTTAAAAAGTAATTTAAGAATTATTTATTGTAGAGCTCTTAAAAGTCTGGTAGACCTCTGGTTTGCATCTGTCTTGGCCTGGGTTTTCTTGTAATTGGCTTTTTGTTACTCTTTTAATCTCTTTGTTATGGATGTATTTAAATTGTTGATCTCTTCTTGTTTCAGCTTTGGTGGTCTTTACGAAAATAGAAACTCACCCATTTCTTTTTAAATTTTTAACTTAACAGAGTATAAGTTTTTAATGTATTGTCTTATAATATTTTGAGTTCTCTGGTGTCTGCTTTAATGTTTCCTTGTTTACTTCTGATTTTTTTTTAATTTGGATCCTTTTCTACAGACATATGGATTAATGAAACAAAACAAAATACCCAGACCGGAGTACACATAATTACAGCCATCTTATATTTGACGAAGCTGTGCACAAAATGCATGCACTGGAGCAATGAACAGTAACAAAACATTGTACATAACTGGATCTGGAGAAATTAGATGTCCACATAAGAAGAATAAAATTAGATCCACATCTACAACCCTGTCTTCATAAAATTAAAAGGCTTATGTATAGCAAAACAATCCATCAAGTAAAGGGAAAGCCCATAGTTTGGGTGAGAATTTTTGCAATATACATCTATCTGATAAAGGATTAATATCCAGAATATGCTCAAAAAGCAAAGTCAAGAAAAGAAATGACCCAGTTAAAAATGGGCTAGAGATCAAAACAGAGTTCTTTAAAGAAGAAATAAAAATAGCTAAGAAATATTTTAAAAAGTTCCAACATCCTTAGCAAATAGATTAAATTATTTAAATAAATTAAAACTAGCTTGAGATGGTTAAGATAAAGAAAACAATTGATAGAAAATGCTTGCAAGGATGTGAGGAAAGGAAAATCCTCACTCACTGTTGGTACAATTGCAAACTAGTACAAACACCATGGAAATTACTGTGGAGAGCTCTCAAGAAGCTAAAAGTAGATTTCCCATATGACCTACCTATACCAATCCTTGACATATGCAAAGGACTACTTCTCAGACACTTGTGCAGTCATGACCATTGCTGCTGTATTTCAAAAGCTAGGAAATGGAAACAACCTAAATGTCCTTCATGTGATGAATGGATAATGAAAATATGGCATATAACATATACATTATAGAAAGAAAAATAAAATCATAAAATGTCCAGGCAAATAGATCTAACTAGAAAATAGACTGAGTGAGAGAACTCAGACTAGAAAGAGAGCTGCTTCGTGTTTTATTTTTGAATTCGAGTTTCAAGTCCTTAGATGTGAGTATATAACCTGGAATGACTTTAGAAACCAACAAAGGAAAAAGGGACTACAGGGTAGGGAGTAGGAGCTCTAGAGAGGAGGGCAGGACACAAGTGTTAGGAAGGAGAAATGGAAAAGTCAGGGGTAAGATTTATCTGGGAGGAGGAGAAGAGGACGAAACAGAGGAAAAGAGAAGGAGGAAGCATAGGGTACACTAAGATTGATTGCAAAAGTCATAGGGAAAGATTATATATATAACGTATCAGTGTACTGCCATTTGCACTGATGATGTCCCCACCTAGAGCGGTATATTATCTAATAAAATCCTAGCGCCAGGCATGGGAAATCTGTGTCATGTCATGTGTAAGAGAGGTGCAAGAGATTCCCAAAAGAATGCAGACTATTTCCTTTGCCCTTGTTGCCTCCCAGAACTTGAAGGCAAGAGCCTATTGTTGAAGCCACCACACACTTTGGACAGAGGACTTGGAGACACTGAGCAGAAACTGACCCGGAAGCTTCCTTCCCTGAAGACTAGCTCTTAGAATCCCAATGTACTGTGAAAACTACACACACACACACACACACACACACACACACACACACACACACACAGAGAGAGAGAGAGAGAGAGAGAGAGAGAGAGAGAGAGAGAAATTAATAGTTTTATATAGCTGTGATGCTTACGAATTGTAACTATTACCAGAGTGGCAAAAATATACACAAGGGTGAAACAGTGGAACTTAGACCTTAGGAGTGACCAACAGCCATCTTATTGACTTAAAGTCTGCTCAGCAAGAGGAAATTCCTGAACAGTACTGTAAATCTAGCGAAGTACCCAGAGCTACTGAGGTTATGGGTTTTAGAATGGAATAGAACTACTACTGCCACTTTCCAAAACCAGTATAACTTCCAACTGCATTTTTATATCCACAAATAAGTGTAGCTTACCTCATCCGAGAAGCTTTTTTTTTTTTTTTTTTCTGGAGCAGCTGGAGACCATTACAGGAAAACAACAACAATGATGATGACGACGACAACAACAACAAAAAAACCTGTAAGTGGTCACAGAGGACATACTGTGGAGTTTGCATCCCCAATAGAAAAACTTACAACACAAACTCTTAAGTCTCAGGGAACATTGTCTACGGGTGGTTGCACAAAAGCCAGAAGACTGAGGGAAGATAGTATATGACAGGGAACAGGGCCCATGAAATATTTTTGATTGGAAAGAGTTGTTTTCGTACAATGTTTTCTGGTAGTTCCCAACTTCTCCCACATCCCTACATACTCAACTCCATGGCCCTTCCTTTTTCTCTCTCTTTAAAAACCAACCAACCCAAAACCCACAAATCAACCAGCAAACCCACATGAAACCCCTACAAAACCATAAAACTGAAACCTAAAATATTCAAGCAAAAGAGCAATATGAGAAAAAAAAGTACTAAAACGAAGTTTCATGAGACAATAAGACTACAAAAGCACCATTGAGTCTTTTTTGTGTTGGTCAGTTACTCATGGGCATGGGACCCACACTTATGTGTGTGTGTGTGTTTTTAATTTCTTAACATGTTTATTATACATGCTGTATTCATGGAGAATCGAGGAGCCTGAAGGGACTGAAGTCAGAACTGACAGCCACATTCAGCACGGAGAGGGTTAGGCCAACGCCCTCTTTTCCTTGTAGGTCGCCATCATCTTCTTGATTTCGGCAATCGCTTTCCCTGGGTTCAGACCCTTGGGGCAGGTCTTCGTACAGTTCATGATGGTGTGGCAGCGGTAGAGAGAGAAGGGGTCCTGCAGTTAGGCCAGGCGCTCCTCTGTGAAGTCGCCTCTGGAGTCCATCATCCAGCGATAGGCCTGCATGAGAACTGCAGGCCCCAGGTACTTGTCTCCGCTCCACCACTAGCTGGGGCAGAGACACAGGATACATTCACACAATCCGTCCAGCTTCTCGTGCTCCTCGACGGGCTGCAGATACTGCTGCTTGCCCTCCTGAGACTCGTCCTTCTTCTTCAGATAAGGCTCGATGGATTTGTACTGTGCAGAGAAGTTACTCAGATCAGGGACTAGATCCTTGATCATATACATGTGCGGAAGAGGGTAAATTTTTGACACTTTGCCGAGGTCCGTGTCGATCCTGCGTGTGCATGCCAGAGTGTCGCCTCCATTGATGTTCATGGCACAAGAGCCACAGATTCCTTCTCTGCATGATCTTCGGAAAGTCAGAGTGGAATCAATTTCATTCTTAATCTTGATTAAAGCATCCAACACCATAGGTCCACACTTATTCAGATCAACCTCGTAAGTCTGCATTCGGGGTTTGTCTCCAGTTTTGTCGGGATCACATCGGTAAATGGCAATTTTTTTGAGCCAGGGAGCTGCAGCAGCCTCCGTCTGTGGCCCTCGGCAGGCCTGGAACTGATGGCTGACTCTGCTGAGAGCGGTAGCCGGGAAGCCACGCCTCAAGGAGAGCCCAACAGCCGCCACCATCTTGCCTCCTGACGTCAGGCCCACCCTCTGCCCTCCGGCATCCCGTCGAACACCGCGGTGGGAAGCGGGCTTCTCACCCTGAAGTCTGCCTGATGTGTGGTTTTTGTATTTAATGAGACTCCAGTAGAAATGACAAATCTTAATGTGGTCGCCTAAACAAGATTGGTACAGGGATAGCACCGGATGATATAAAAATGTAGATGGGGGAAATCTCACAAAAACCACCTCTAGAAGAAGAGCTACAGGCAATTAATGACTCCCAAGAGTCAGAGAATCAGTCTTCCCCAGAAATGAACTCCCAGACCACTTGCAATTCCAAGTGGTCAGCTTTCAACAAATACACAAATGAACAACACTAAATGGACTCAGGAGTGTGTGTGTGTGTGTGTGTGTGTGTGTGTGTGTGTGTGTGTGTGTACAAATATGTAACAAAGAAGAGGTCATGAATTTGAGAGGGAATTATGGGAAGAATTGGAAGGGGGAAAGTGAAAAAAATGTCAAGACAGTACTCACATATGACATTCTCACAAAACTGCTTAAACAACCACACAGACAATCAGAACTAGAATACCTCCCTTAAGCCCCTGCCAGACTTCTCTTTGCTACTTGAGTCAGCAATTGCTGTCTAAATCTTTTCCCCAAACCATTTCTCATTGCTTTGATAATGCCAAGCTACCTTGATTTCTTTTGCTATGCTAATCCCAGTGTGGATATGAACGGATGCTCTCACACCGTGGTTGTGTGTGGTTTCCTTATTATGCTATCATGCTGAGAAGAGGGTTGAACTCTAGCAGGCTTCAGGATTCAGAACTAGGTACAGGAACATTGCCTACTTGACCCTAGTAGAACAAAATTGGCAAATCTAAGAGGGATTCAATCCTTAAATGTAAATGTAAGAGCTAAATGAGCCAAATGTGCTGAAATACTGCATGTTGTTAATGACTGTAAGTGCCTCTTTATGACCTCATAATGCTGGCTGCATAGTTTGGGAAGATAATATATCTGTAAGCACTCCTGACATTCCATTTAAAAGTTGATTTCTAAATAAATGGGTTGAAACTCAATTAGCCTCAACACTGAAGGGTTCTGGGCCTACCTCAGTCGGAAGAGTATGGTCAAAGGTGACAACTAAAAAGCATAGTCCAGATGCTTGCATTAAAATATGTAAACTGAGAATGTTTTAAGTGCATCTGAGTACTTCAGTATTTCGTAAATAGTGCAGTAACATTATCAAGCCTGGATATTGAGAAGCTAATAAGCAAATGGCTTGCTCACTCTTTATAGTGATGTGTACTTGAGCCGAAGGAAGGACCAAGGATGGCTAGAATATTGGGCTGCTCCTTTTCACTCAGTTTACTGAATCCTTATAATATAAAGAATAAAAATTGAAATTTTTACTATATGCCAATGAAGTCTTATAAATGGAGTCTTCTGAGATTATTTTGCTAGGATAATAAACATGGCAATAGAAAATTGTTTGCATGGACCTGAAATATAGTACATTTACTTTACCTGCTTCTTTTTTTTACTATTCAGTTGATTCAATAAAGCAACACATTTAGAAGATTCTGAAATAGTTGGTAATTATAATCTCTCCATTTAGTTTATGTGGACAGGACCATCCTTTTCATGGTTGTTTTATTCAAGTGATTTGTTTGGAGTTTTCTGCATAGTAGGAATTTCTTCAGATATATAAAATTTACATTTAATGAATTACTCACCTTGATTAACCAAGGCATTAACCACACAGGTAAAATTGAACATACATACATATATATGTCTGAATAGAATCTTGGTTATGTTCTGCAAGCATTTATATACTTTCCTCACATTTCTACATATTCATTTTCTGCATTATGTCCCAGATCTCTGATATTTCTGAGAAAGCATGTAACGTGCAAAATTATGCTTCTTTCACATCCGAACAGAACTGTTAGCATACATTTCAACAGGAAGGTATCAGAAAGACAAATTGGAGTGTATTTCTAGTCATCTTTCTACAGCTGCACTAATTTGGATACTCCTATGGAACTTTTCGTATTTGTTTAATGCAGTAAAATCCACAAAAGTCCCATTAAACGTAGAGCAGAGTTGGGAAGCATCCTTCCTGCTAAGCATCAGTTACTTAGAGCCAGAGAAGCTCCAGTCAGCCAAATTTCTGTTGAGGAACCGTGAAGATGAATGTGTCATCCTTCAAAAACAGAAGACGTTGGAAATCAGGTAATTTAATTTGAAATATGAAATGTATCTAATTGATTTGCAATACTGTCTCTGAGGCACAGCTTATTGGAAATGCAAGATTCAGAGGTTTGTAGGCCCACGACAACAGATATGAAAATATCCTACTACTCCTTCTGGGGGAACAAGAAGAAATAGGAGAAAGAGGGAGGTGGGTGTTGCATGACTTTGCAACTCCTGGGGGCTGCTTTACCTCATCTACCATCTGGAAGACTACTAGCACAGAAACCTGTAGTGGGGATGGTTTGCTCTGAGCTACGACATTAACTGGTGCATGTATATTTCCCAACTCTTGATGAAGACTCTCAGATAGTTAAACAGTATTTAGATTAGGATGTGAGTGGGCTAAAGATGAATTTTTTTTTTAAATCAAGCCTATCTTTATTTGGATAATGAAGTAATATTACCAAGTGGTGATTTCTTTTATTCTTATGGTCTAACTTAGATAATTTCTTTTCTCTGTCTCCAGAATGGCAATAAACTTCAGAGATTCAGCCAATTAATATTACAATGATTCTGATTGCTTACACAGGGCTTACAGCTCACTATCATTAAAGTTCTGCATGCTGTTTTAAGAATGCACAAGAGATTTTCGAAATCCCAAATAAATACTGCAATTTCTTACAGGCATAGATCTGGACAGCTTGAAAGTATTAAGATAATGATTGCTAAGAATAGCAACATCCACAATAAATATGCTCAACTCCTGAAAATTGCTATGTTTATCTAATGCGTTTTCTCAAATGTTGTCTCCCATTCCAAAAACAGACTACTGGCAACTTCTGTTTGGAAGAAAGGACATCAGAAATAATTTGGCTAGTTAGATGAAAGCCAATTTGTATGTCTGTTATGTATCTACAAAGTGCTAAAAAGAATATGTTAAAATAACATGGAGTGTGTGGGTAATTAATTTCAAAAGGTAATTTATACTACAAACGGAATAAGAAAAGCATTGCTATCATTTTCATGTGTATGTGGCATGTCTGGGTCTGTGCATGTTTGCATATGTGTTCACAAGTGTTAGTGTACGTGAAAGTGAAGGGCTGAGGTGGCTGCTGGGAGTCTTCTTGGAGTGCTCTCCTTATATATTGAGGCAGGGCCTTTCGCTTGAGCCTATAGGTCACCCTTATGGTTAGATGAACTAGCCATCATGTTCTGAGGGAATCCTGTTTCGGCCTTCCTAACACTGGCATTATAGGTGGGTGTCCACATCCTTCAGGAGATCCGAACTTTGGTCCTCACACTTGCTGCTTGCATGGCATGTGCTTTAACCACAGACGAATCTTCCCAGCCTCATAAATGAATTATTAAGCAAAGTATGGATTAACTAAGATGCAATGCTTATTACTTCTAAAAAGCTGAGCAACTAGACACATTGGCAATTGTATGTAGTTTTCCACTTAAAAATTATAATGATAGCTTTTATGGATATTTATTTTTTGACATAGGTTATGGTTATAGCCTATGAACAGGAAAACCGACCTTTTCAGTAAGGCTGGTTTAGTAAAATTCTTAAATTAGTAGTTTAATATGTAAAAGTGGAAATAGATAATACATCAATTACTGAAGCACTTCACACAGTCTTAGTTTATAACTGTCTGTATATACTCACATGGATATATGTACACATAGCACACATTAGTAATGCTTTTTATCTTGTAATATATATGTAATATACTCTTTGATAAATTTATAGATAATATTGGTAAATAATTACTTTGTTTCGATTCTTAAGTCATTCTAATGTTTGTGTATTGTTGTCCAGATATATTTATAGTTTTTAAATTTCTAGTACAACCTTTTCCTAATGCTATGTTAGCATCTGATGAATCTCAAAGCATCAGTTTGATGATCTTTAGTTAAGATTGGCTCCCTTTCCTCTTCAAGAATCGCACAACTGCTTCTCTGCATTTAAGGATATTTAAACTCTGAAGGGCTCAGTATGATAATATGAGTTTTTAACCTCAATTTACATGTGCTCAGCATATTCCTCTTATTAATATCTTTAACATTCTCATTACATCTTTTTAGTAGAACACTATTAGTTCATCCTCATATATGCAAATTTTAGGGTACCAGTTCGCAACAGTATCACTCCACTTATATATTGTGTTTTTAAATATCAAATTTATCAGGTAGTTTTAAAATCATCTTTGTCTTAAAAGCTTTTAATTGACTAATTTTTATTTTAAATTACTTTTCATCATAAATACACTGGAACTATAAAAATTTGTAAAAGTTGTTAATTATCATAACATACTCTTAAATTTCACTAAGTAGTATGACTTGCTTAAAACAAAAAGTAGGGGCTTTCATATTCATAGGTTTGCCTAATACAATGGAATAAAATATGTGCTCCTTTTATTAAATACTTATGTCCTTGCTACTGTTTTGTTTACAGATTATTCCTTAAGTTGACTTTAATTTCAAGCTGTTATAGTGTAAAATGTGTACAATTATGTGCAAGTAAATTCTAGAGGAGATTTGATGACATAGAAAGAACACTTTAGTGCAAAGACACATGTTTTAATTCTAGGTCTCTGTGTTCCTAAAGTTCTCTGAGCCTTCAGTCTCCTGATTTATGATAAGGGGTAACAATAAATGGTTTAAGTTGGATTAAATATGAATTAAATTAAATTCTACTGATCTATCACAGTACCCGACACACATTTAATCTGATATGCTCTAAACATGATTGTCTAGTTTTGCTGGAAGTCAAACATTGGTGTTCAGCATTTGTTCTTACTTGAACGGATGAACTG